TGAATTCTGCTTAAATAAGACAGACAAAAAACACAGCTGTGGTCAGACTAACCTTCAAAATCCAGTCAGTGGTAGTCCCCATGATTTCTGGGTTTTGGAAAGGTCTGTAAAAGGAGTACAAAAGCTTTCACTTTCAGAGAGRCCAGTAATGAAACAGAGGAAGATGAAAATAAATCTATTTTAAATTTCACAACTGCTCTCCAAATTTATAACCCTTCACCACAGATACCATACTTGATCCTACAAAAATTCACAAATGTGGCTCCATTGCCATGAGTGACCCACTGAAACTTGCTACTGGAACTGTATTTCACGGTGGACCTGAGTCACTTCCCTGGGCTAAAACTCGTTTTATTTGGCACCAAGCCCCATCAATACGCTTTGCTCAGTCCTCATGAATAAAGGAACTTTAATCATGCCTATTCTGGTATATTTATGCCTGGTCAATTAATTCTTATTTCAACGATCAACTTCATATCCACAAAATACACGACTTGGGAAAGTCAGCACAAGTCCTTCAGAACATGCTTGCACTAACGTCTCCTAAAATAATATAATTTTTTTCACTCTACACACTGAAGACAAACATGAGAACTTATTTTGTGATTTCTAGTAAGACTCATCTGCAAGGATTCCTGTCCTAAATGACCAGATGCTCGGAAGCAGGTAGGAATTGTCACTTCCAGAGATGAGCTCCTTTCCTCCTCTCCCTGCTTTCAGTACCRACCTGACTCCCGCCACCAGCCTCAGCTCCCTAAGGGAGACCGAGCAAATGAGCCAGATCCCAGCTCCCAGCACGAGCTCCCAGGCTGAGCTCAGGTCTCCCTTTGCTCCTGAGGCTGGTGGCTGTTGACACCATTGAGCTCGACTTCCCGGTGGCTTCATGGAGTTAATGMAGAAAACATTAGATACACATGCAGTGTTACCAATGATCTATGTAACTGAACTAATTATTGCTACCAATGGAAGTATCAGATAGTTGGGCTGCATATGAGACTGGATTAAGTCTGCTTAAAAACACTAGTGCCAGCTTGTGCCTTGCCTTGTTTTCATTTTTCTTTTTTTCCTTCCTCTACTTCCAAATTTACAAACATTAATTTGCAAAAAAATCAGTGTTCGTGTTACAACATGAAGGGAAGATTTCCAAATAAAGGGAACTGTCATGAGCTGCACCTATTCTTAGTAAGGCGAAGAATGTGGACAAACACATTCCTTGGGAGAGCAACAGGTTCATTTGACATTTAAAAACAATTGTCTCTTCTATCAGCAATTACCATAAAAATTTCATATACGAATGTAACARTACCAAAAATAAATGCTCTAACACACATATTTACATACTGAAAATATGAATGAAGGTTCAGATCAAGTTTGAAATTAAATAAAACATCCTAAAAAGAAAATAAAAGTTGTAAATACACGTGTGCCACAAGGAGCRGAACCACCTAGCTCTAACACTTGCTGGCAAAACTTGAACAGAACGATAAAAACAATCCTTTCAGGTGTATTACGATGACAGGACAGTAAAGAAAAGCCATCATTTCACCATCTAGACTTCCCACAGGTCAAGACCAGAGTGGTTCATTAGCTGGGATTCAGCAGTGGCTCCAGGACTAGCTGCGAGACAGGGACTTGAGATGGCCCTTTGCTCCGTGGGGCGCTGAGGCCAGATGATGTGGATGTGACCAACCAGCCYCCTTCCTGTAGATAAAGTTAATGCTACTGCCTTAGACTTGGGGGTTCTCATTTCTGCTGAAGAAATCCTTGATCCAAAACATTAAATTCCAGCATATTGGGAAAGTATTTACCTGATACTATTCCCAAATATTCAAGATGCAACCAACTATTTTCCTAGCATGCAAGAATCATTGCTTTAGTTTCTTGGAGGATAAATTTAGAATCTATACCTTATAAAGTAGTATTGAAGCATAAGTGTCAACTGTGTCAACTGTAGAGTCATTCCTATCAGAAAATGTGAGGTATGGATTGTTTGTAGTAATGAGTAAGTTAATATTTAATGTTACGAATGCTGGCAGCAATGTGGACATTCAAACTGTTTTCAGGTTCATGTGAACAGTAAATCATTTCAATTTGTGTATAAAATGACTGTATAAAGAAGCTGGAAGATCAGTTTCCATCACTGTTCAAAGCTATTTGAATGGCAACACAGAATTATCAAAAATGGACTTTTGAGGGTACTTCTTTAGCCCTTCTCACCTCCCCACCCTGTGACTTCCAAGGCACCATGCATTAATAGGTGTCACAAGCAGTAGGCCAGGCTAGATTCTCAAGATGTAGTAGATGTCCAACAGCCTCCAAGAGCTGCACGGCAAAACACCCAGTCAGAAGCTGCTGATGGTCTTTGTAAAACTTGTGAACTCCTGCACTAGACTGCACTAAACCTTCTAATTTCTCATGGCAAATCTCTGTGACCTCACTCTACTGCTAGGAGCATCAGAGGAAGCCCCCTCTTTTTACACAGCATTCATAGTGACAGAGCCCCACAGCACGGCCAAAGCATCCACAGCAGTTTTTGTCCTTAAAAGGAACTCTTGTACATCTTTCTTGGTGGTCAGCCTCCAAATATTATTGATTATATCCTAGTAGTTCCTAAAGAGCGCTAGATTTTGCAAACATGGGATGACTTTTTATTTCAAGGCACAAAAGGAATGAGATGTAACATGGCAAGAAGTAATGTGCCTATGAACACTTCCTTACAGTGGCAGGTTGCATATCAACACAGAGATAGCGTCCTTCAGGACACCGGTCTGTCTTCTCAACCTTGTATTTTTCCAAAGAGAGATGCTTAATTTGTCTGAAATACGTGAAACAGAACTATGTGGTCACAGGATGATCTGTTTTGTTTAAATATAAAGCAGTAAGTATATTACAGCTGCCAGTTCCCAAGATAGTTTCCATGGGGAATAATTTCAACTAATGTTTAAAATAAAAGGGCATGAAAATCAGAAGGCAGGGAAGCAAGGCCTACAGAAAGAGAACAAGTATCTCTAGGCTCTGAGTGGGCTGCACAATCTCTGACATTGAAGAAGTCTCTTACTGCTTTAATGGGAAGAGCTGACGATCTAGCCCAGGMACCAGAAACAAAGATAAGTCTTCCTTGCCTTTACTTAGGCCTTACTATTGACCTTAGGCAATACATTCAAAGTTAGGAATTTTTGAACTGTCTCAATAGTCCTCTAAATACTCACCAGTCACTTTTGGGGATTCACAAAATAGAACTCAGAAAGGCAGGTTAATATAAGCTACAAGCCGACTATTTTTAGCATCACAATCTGTATCTGCAACCACTTTTTGTGTCCTTACAAAAAGCAGTTTTTCTTTGCAGCCTTGTAAGCCTTTTCAAAAGCTTTGCTCCAAACAACGGTCGTTGCACATCTCCTGTCATCACCTTCAGTCTAGGGCAGTTGCAGTTCTCGTCACTTCTCCGGTGGTTGCCTCAAGATGTAGTGAAGATTAGTGAAGAGAGAAGCAGAAACAACACAAAGATATTTACCATACACTTCAGGTTTGGCTGTACTAAGAATGCTGTGTAGATCCAGCTGAAAAGAAAGGTTATTTTCTCAAAACCCGCTATAAAGATATTAAGTGGGCACTTCATTTTAGAGAGAGTTGTTTTTAATGCCAATCAGCCAAGTAAAAATACAAAATTATTCAGATTATACAAGTGTGCTCAGAACAGTAGTGAGGAAAGTGCCAAAAGCCACGTTGAGAACCTATGTACTACACAGAAGTCGACAGCAATATTAAATCTGACTGGTGGATGTGCAACATTTCAATTAGTAGTTTACACACCACTGGAAAATTCAATGTTCGTTACCAAAAGATGCCTGTAAATAACTTGTTGCTTCAGCTGTTAAGCCTCATTTTTTTTTTTTTTTTTTGGCTGGTTCTACCCTTTCAAATCCTCTATGCTTTCCTCCATACAGTTATTGTTATAAATAGGCAGGATTACCAGATGTCCCTTTGTCATGTGCCACCAACACATTGTCACCCTTTTCTGATGAGAGAAAATAATACAAATAAAAGAAATACATAATTATTCAAATGGATACCATTACCCTGCTATGGGACAAGACTTTGCATTTTTTTAGCAATAGGAAATATCTATCATTTGGAAGGCTGATACAGTTTGTGGAGGAAGGGAAGGTCCTCTGACTTCCTCTCCTTCCTCACCATGTGATTCCAGTGTTTTAAGTCCCAAAGAAGAGTGTTCATCAAAAAGCCACATCCAGCTGACAAGGCAGGTGTAAAGCATGAAAAAGCTCCGGAGGTGCAAAGTTGCATTAGGAAAATGTATCAGGGTGCAGAAGGATGCATGAACAAAAAGCCTCTACAAAAGGCCATCGTCAAAACTTTATCCAAATACCAAGATGTTCTGGCTCAACACAGAAAAATAATTCATTAAGACAGTGATGCTTGAAGGGACAGGTTTATTACATCTCCCACACCTTTCAGTTTCTGAGCCAGTGACCAAAGCAGTAACGAAAAGCTTAATCCCGAAAAACTTTATAACAAACTTACTTTCAGGCTCTGAAATGAAAACCACAATTTATTTGTGCTGTTAATTAAAACACTATTTGGTTTTTGTTCCTTCTCACACCTCAAGCTTGCAATTCTAAGCTTGCAATGGCATTTTCCATACAGTAATACTTAAAAAAACCCTACACTAAACACAACGTAAGCCTAAATAATAATCCATTTTAATTACACAGAATTGAATACCTTGCAAACAAAAGACACTCATTAAGATTTACTGACAGGTACTATATTGTTCTGGCAAATGTGGAACAAACCAGAAGAAAAAGCAAAGAATTGTTCTATAAACATGAAGGAAAGAAATGCCCATCTAAATGTAGAGGATTCATACTGCAGAACTCAAACTAAAGAAAAAACCCACACTTACAGCAGATTTTTTTTTTTTTAATTCTTAGTGCAAGAAACAACCAAGTTAATCACAGAATCAGTACTAATTAAGAATATGGAAAATTCTCCTATACAGAGGTAGAGTCCAGTGCACAAGGCTAAAACGATATTCAATAGTCTAAACAAGACTGAGCCAGGTTTTACGGAATCCACTTTTTAAAGTATCAGACTGTATGTACATACATACAATAAATAGACTATACAATCTTTAAAGTAGTTTAATAAACTTCACAAAAATTATAGTAGATGCATTGAGATTTTTTACATAATCCAAAGTTCATATCTCTATCACCCAGAAATGGATAAAACCAATATTCCTGATATCAAGTTAAACCAAAAATAGTTTAGCAAAGTGTTGATAAATCAAAATATTTTACATATTTTTAAAGCCTAAATTTATGCTTATAAAGGATAAATTTCAAACGCTTTGAAAATGCTCCTTTTGATACTATTTGCAAAGAGGTTCCAAATGCTCCAATTTGCATTTTTACCTTAATAAAGACTTGCCTTACATTCCACGTTCAAGGGAAAAATGGACTGGGGTACTCACAGTTCTGATGTGTTGGCACAAGAATAAATGATGAGAATTAGATTATTYTAAAGGCCCCAAAGACCTCAGGAGAATTTACAGACAAAGCCTTCATGTCTCATACTGCATGAATCACATTAGAAAGTTTACAGAAAATTGTTTGGTCTTAACCACTTCAATCCTGTCAGTGCTTCTCCATCTGGAGGCATCTGATTAGCATTGCACTGGAGTTAAGAGTGTGCATCTCTGGGCCCCTAGCTTTGCTACAAGCCCATAGGGCTTAATAAAACAAACATGGAATCTTTATGGTTTACCACGTTAGTGCATAAATCAGGGACGTCTGTTGCCATTCATTTCAGTGATAGTCACAAATAAAGGATTTCAGGGGACTGAGATATTTTTAACCGTATCTTTCTAAGCTGCGCAATTAAATGGAAAAAAAACACAGATCACTCTGGGATGCAATAGGGTAGMGCAATTATGTTTCCTCTGGTAAATTATTTTCTCTAAAGGGTTCTTACAAATCCCAAGGGGGAAATCCCCAGGGATAGTAAGAGGGAACTAGTAACAACAACAGAAGAGCTTAATAATCAGCGTTTAAACTTATCTTCACAGTTTGGTTATTTTTAATTTCTATAAGCACCTACACTGAAAAAAATCAAGGGTTTGTACTTTAGTTTTAAAATCGAATCTACTTGTGACAAATACCTTGTTAAGATTACCATTCTGCTCTTCTACAGGCCTTCTCACTGGATTTTTTTTTTATTATTTTTTATTTTATACAAACAGACTCACTTTGATTTAAAGTAAACATATAAAAATTGAGAATATTGCTTGCAACAATGGACCTGGAAGTGAAGGAATGAACTAGTCAGGCCAGACCAAAAACAAAGCAAAACAAAACACACACAAAAAACCAACCTCCCTCCAAATGAATTCTACTGAACTTCTAACGCTGTGAAAATCTGCAAAAGGATCACAAGATCTGTTGCAAATTTCAGAGATTTGGCCCAAGTCTCATCATCATCATCATCATCATCTGAATACTTTAACAACTGTATCTTTATATTAAGGAAAAATAAATGATTCCAAGAACTCAGGAAGGCACACGCACCCAAGTACACTATAAATAAAACACATCGTGAAATTATGAACGATCTTCTGATCCCTGTACACACTTTTGGTTCAGCACTATGGTCAAGTTATCTCTTTTGAAATACAATGAAAGGCATAGAACAAATATAACATATGCATAATTATTATGAAGAATAATGCTAATAAGACAGCTTAGAGAGAAAAGTGCAGTGGGAAAAAAAAAACCAAAAACCCTCTTTATTCTGGAGCTTGTGCTACTGTAAATACAGACTTTGTATTTGCTGCTGTGCAAGGGGAAGAATTTATCCTGGAAAGCAGCAATGAGGAATGCAGAAACAAAAAGTAAAAAAAGATATTAAGAGAAAACTTTAGGATGGATCGCTCCCAACTTCACTCCTCTAGTGCACAGTCATCTGACTATGTGGTTTGTTTTCACGCTGTCATTTCTCTTCAAAAGTAGAGCATATTACAAAAAAATGGCACAATTCTTAATCGTCTTCTGCCTCTACTTCAYTGTTTTTGTTTCTTCTTCCAAGCACCTGATTTGCTGTATCCTCATAAAATGGTAAAGCTGTTAGTGAAGTGAGAAGAAAATTGTTGCCCATCTTCTTTCCCAGCCACTGATTTCTCCTTCCACTAGGTATTTTACGCTTGTGTGCTACACAATGGGGAGGCACTGTAAAGGCAGCTTGACAGATTTAAAAATTAAAATAAAAAAAAAAGAGTCTTTTTTTTTCCCCCACCCAGCCTACCCCAAAAACCATTGGATGGATGAAACAGTCCATAGGAATATTCCAGTCTCCTCTGTTAGGAGATAATAGCAGGGGACCATCTAACCACAGTCAGATTGTCAGCACTGACTGACCGTTTCTTTGCGGATTTCCTGAAGTCCTTATATTTATCTTCACACAAGCGGGAAATGGCCTGTAGGATTCAAGAATGAAGAAACTTCAGTTAGAGGCCAGAGCTGCACAAGTAATATAAGTAACACAAATCATGGATCTCTACATATAGGMAGAATTATAAAACGTCACTTTATTATACAAAATCCATGCAGATCTTCTTTGTCAACCCCTCTACTCCACTCATTCACTGCATGAACAGTCATTTCCTATTTTGCTTTAGGAACTATCTCTGTTATCTTCATTTGTACTGACAATGCTGTGAAACGTTATGCATTAAATTCTCTTCACAAAACAATATGTTTTAATACACAAAACAGCTCTTATTATCAATATCCACCATCCAAACTTTGTCAGCTGTCTTTTTCCTTTTAAGTTTACAATCCTAATGATTTTTCTTATTTTTTATTCTAAAGTTTAATGTAAACATATTTGATGCAAATTTACACTGCTCTCCATACACAGAATTAAGTTATATTCTCATTAAATCTGGGAGATTTAAAAAGAATATTTGAAGTAAAATGAGAAATACAACTTAAGTGAAATGAATGACCGCTTTCAAACCTCTCCATTCCCACTGTTTTCACCAACAACTCATTCACCCCACACATTGTTTCCCCGTGGGACCTGGCATCTTACCTCGAGTTTATAAGCTCTGTCCCTGCTCAGGGGCTCCAGAGGAAAACTCAGGTTATTTGCTTCTGCCAGGGAACGTAAATCAAAATAATACTTGGCATAAACACTGGAGGGAACATTAATATTGAACTGCAACAGCTCGAGAAACTGGCGTTCCAGCTCATTCCTGTAGAAAAAGATAAATGTGAAAGTGTATTTAGCCATCAATGCTGCCATTGCCCGAACGTACATTACCTTAAGTTGCAAATGGCACAACCCAAGTTCATATGTTATTCRTGCGAGACAGAATAAACAGGCCTGAGGTCTGAACAACGTTACCAACCTCTTCGGGTGCGCTGAGGGCAGTAGAGCTGCCGCAAGGCCGGGCAGGGGAGAGTGCGGAGGGAACAGGATTGAGGGGCTGATGCCGAGAGGGTGGTCTGCGCACACACCTACACACACAACACCCACACGTGCCTGAGGGGG